TTAGGCCAACAGTGCACTCAATGCAAGACATTAGGTAACAGTAAACCATTGAATCGATTGGCGGCCAAAACAATATCACTTAAAGTTTTTGTTTTAATTTAGATTTTTTGCCATTAATTTGTGTTAAATGTAAAGAAGTGTTTTGGTATGTCTTGAGTTGAGATCAATTGTAAGAGAAATGTATTTAATTATTGTATCGTTTCGTTCGCATGAAAGCAAAGACCACTTTTCATTGGTTGCACACAATTGTCCCAAAAGTGACAAACAGTCGGCAACTGTGGCACCGGTCGGTCGCGTCTCCGAATCCATTTCAGGGAAGTGTTGTTTTTGTGACAAATCAGTGCTGAAGACTGAACTCGTTTTGTGCGACAAATGCAATGCAAATCATTGTCTCACTCATAGACACTACGAATCGCATGAATGCAAACACAATATTGTTGACCAAAAACCCACACAAACTGTTAAGAAACCGATTTTGAATTCTTCGGCGCCTCTAATAAAAGGTGCGAAGAATGAAGTGTTGGCCCGAAGAGTGACTCTTATGAAACTCAAACAAAAGGCTTCGGGACAGAGCGCTATACCTTTGACCGAACGGCTCTTTTTTAAACTTCTTTATCAGAAGAGTTCACAAGAAAACGACTTCCAATCGAAAGACATATTTGTGTCGAAGGAGTGGTCAGTCGGCAAATGCATTGACTGGTTGTCCACTCATTTGTCGGTTGCAAACAATAACAATAATCCATTGCATCCCAAATTAGTTCTGTGCAGTGATTGTGAAAATAGCGAACCCTTTGCCATGTCTTCGCCAATCAAACAGTTGGAAAGTGAAGGACTTATTCAAAGCGGTGACACTTTATGTCTTAAATATATTCAACTCAATTAAATCACGTTTTGTTTGCTTATAATTACTTTTATATATTCTATTAACTTCTTTATGGAATTAATTTCCTTTTTTATGGTTTGGTATAATTTTTTGTTTATTTTCAAAGTTTAAAACTTGACATTTGATTAATATTGAAATTAAAAGCAAATTATATAATAGATTTCAGATAATTTTCATAACAGATATAATTAATAAAAAACTTTATAATTTAAAAACTCTGTCCATTATTATCCACTTTTCTCCCGGTTTAGCGAATGGTAACGACTTCTGGAAAGTCCACATAAGTTGTTCCCATTGTTGTACTTTCGCATTGTTTGCATCCATTTGTGCCTTCTTTTCAAACGAGAAGTCATCTTCGGTTTCCATAATCATAAACATCCTGTCCTTCAGTCGATATATTTGCATATCAACGATACCCGAATCGGTGATACTCTTCTTGATCTCTGGCCACACATTCTGGTGATACTTCTCGTACTCTTCGATAAGTTTGGGATCGTCTTTGAGGTCAAGCGCTAAACAATATCTCTTCATATTTGTTGCAAAATTAATAAATTGGAAAAATATTTGGAAATATTAAAAATGACATAAATATCAGTGATTTAGTGATTAGAGGAATGTTTGAAAGTGTATTGCCTTTACATTTAATGGCATTTTTGTGCATAACTTTCAATACAGAGCTCTCAATAACGCAAATGTATTGAGAGTTTGCGTCAAATGAATGAAAACACTTGTCGTGAAAGCAATCAAAACATTGAAGCGATTATTGAAACAAATGATTAGTTTTTATGTTTTATTTGATAACAAATGCTATGAAAAGTCAAACAAATTAACAAACAATTGATGACAGAATCGCCTCTTTTCGAGACAATTGAATCCCATTTGTGATCCTTTTTTTGACACCAATTTGTGGCCAAAACAATGTCCAAAGCGTTTGAGGATCAACTCTTGCGTATGTCTTCGGTTCTCATCACTTGATTATTGATTTAACAAAAATTGTCTTTTCGTTTGTATTTGAAGGCGAAGTGAATGAGAATGTATTGAAACGTTTCGGTCGTTTTGTGGATCACTTCAACCGCGAGTTGTCTTCAATACATAACCTGAATGTCAAACAAATCTTGAGCTCAATTGAAGTGCCGTTTGATTGTCCGGCCATTGATTGCGATGACGTGAAGGAGAGGACGGATCTGATAGAGTTGTTGAGCACTTGTGGTAATATGCAGTTGAATAAAGTGGTGCTCGTCTTCGGCCGATTGGCCCAAGAGATGCATTACTTGACACATACGGGCGCTCAACGCTTCTGCGACCCACTGGTCCTCTACGGCGAACCCGTTTCGGACGATCCCAACGCCGAAGACCTGTCATCGATCGCCAAATTTCTGCCATTACTGCACGACTTGTCCTCTTATGTCACCCATTGTCTGAATGTGGTCTCAAATGTTGTCCAACAGATCAACGCTTTAATACATTTATCTAATATACCGGTGAAGAAGGGATCGCAAAACAATTATAAAGAACTAATTCCTGACTTGAGTTCAAACATCAGATTTGATGTGATATTTGAAGGGATGTCTGACTTAGCGGTGACTCTAATAAATTTGGACGAAATTATCACAAATCAAACGAATTTACGCAAAGATTTTGTGAATTACAAGCGAATCATTGAATTAGTTTCGGCCAATTCGGCCAAATTCGATGTCAGCAATGAGACCATGAAAGTGAAGATTCTGTTCAAACTGATCGATAAGATGGAGAAGCAGTTGATCGATGGCGACGGTATCTTCAGATCATACGTGGACGCCATGACTCATGAGGGAAGTGTTGCCAAAAACACTCAAATGGCTGACCAGTTCTCGAACTACATCCGCGTCTCGTGTCTTGAGTTGGAGACCACACCAGAACTCGTGTCCGACACTAAATTTCTGTCGATTTGCGCTCTTTTTGTGATTTATATTTGGATTTTTAAGAGAGAAGACAAACGTCTGTACAAAACAGTAACCGATTGTCAGAAAAAAATCGGCGTCTTTTTGTGTCACTTGAAGGGCAACTGTTGTGTCATTCCCGACAAATTTTTGACCAATCATTTGCCGCGATCTATGTTTGACAAGAAACTAATGGACAGCTTTAACGCTCAACGAGACCTGATTTTGAAGCAGAACTGCGACAAAGAAGTGAAACAAATCAATCTAAAAGTGACCAATTGGTTGGTGCGCTTTGAACAGGACATTACTGATGCCACTGATCTGAACACTAATCTGATTGATATCTTAGCGAAGCAGCAGAAGGTGATCGAAGAGGGTCTCGAAAACGCCAAAATGATATCATCTCTTGTGAAGAACTGTATTTCATTGCATCTACAAAACGGCCGACCGATGGCTAAACACGATTTGCTGGCCATTTGTAAAGCCATTTGTGTCCTCAAAGGCATTCAATTGGCATTTCATCGCAAGAAAGGGGTTTTGATACCAATTATCGGACATTTGGCTCAATATAACTGCTGTGTTGTACTGAAAATGTTAAGCAATACTAAAACCAAAATCATGACCGATGTTAAGAAGTATTCCGAGAAAAAACTGGATCTCTTGTCGGCTGTGATTCTGGCGTCTAATTGTCTAAACGGTCCGATTCTGACGAATCAACGAAGAATATTAACATCCATTTGTTTGGCTGTTTTCTCATCGGCTCTGACTGTCGAAGAATTGTCCAAAATATTGACGTTAACTCGAAAACTGGAATTGTTTACAAAAGTCCACTCATTGATCGATAGTCGGACTAATTGTGAGTTTCTTTACTTCAATCGCGCGGTTCTCGGCATATATTTCAACAATTTCTTTGAGAACGAGTCGAGTAATGTCCACGAATTGAGACACTTCTTCAACGCGTTGTCCGATTCGTTGACTTTTATTAACAAATGTCACGACAACCAGAAGAGAGAGATTCTGGTCAAACAGTTTGAGACCGAAACGTACGATCAGTTTAAAAACGACTTCTTGGACCGAATTTGTTCCGAATTCGAGACCGAATTGCGGCTACAAATCCATTCGGATCTACAGCTCGACGATCAAAGTCCCTTCAAACGACATTTGCATGATTTTAGTGCACTCTTAACGTCAGAACCGTTACGATTGAACAATAGATTGATATCAATCAAGAACTATGTGGAGGAATATCTGAACGAAATGGCTTACAATCTGACGACAATAGCTCTGCACGACTGGAAGACATACGAATCGATGTTGAATTTGGCCAAAACTAAGTATGGCTTAGAGTTTGTGAGGTCTCAACTGCCGACACAGACCTTAGAGCAGGGGTTGGATGTGTTGGAGATCACCCGTAATATACATGTATTCGTTTCGAGATATTTATATAATTTAAATAATCAGATGTTTATCGAGAAGTCATCCAATAATAAGCACTTAAATGTTTTGCTCATAAGACATGTCGCGAATTCAATACAAACCCATGGCTTCGGTATTATCAACACTACAGTTAACTTCACGTATCAGTTCTTACGCAAGAAATTCTATATATTCTCCCAATTCCTATACGAAGAGCACATAAAGTCGCGACTCATTAAGGATTTGAGACACTTTCGGGACTCAAATGCAAATAAGTTTCCTTTTGAAAGGGCAGAGAAATTATGTAAAGGAATCCGCAAACTGGGGCTCACAGCCGATGGCATGTCATATTTGGATCAATTCAGACAATTGATTAGTCAAATCGGAAATGTGTTGGGATTCGTGCGAATGTTGAGGAGTGGAGCACTTCATTGCAGTTCCAATTCAGTCAACTTTGTGCCCGATTTGGATGACATGACTGAAGTGTCGTTCGAGACGATGACCAGCGACGAGAGCCTCAGCGCCGACACAGTGACCGCCGCACAGAATTTGGACTCAATTCTCAACACTTTGAACCTAAACTTTACCGAATCGACCGATTATTTCAAACTACTGGTCGATGTGTTCGCGCAGACATTCCGCGACTCCAAGAACTATCACCTGAAGAACTTCTACGCAATACTTCCGGCCACGACTTACAACTTTGTCGAACACCTCATCATCAGTAAGGAGAAGATGACCCGTAAGAACAAAGTGGGCGCCGCCTTCACCGACGATGGCTTCGCGATGGGCGTCGCGTATATACTCAAACTGCTCGACCAATTCAATGATTTCGATTCACTTCATTGGTTTAGCTCTGTTTCCGACAAAATCAACGCCGAGATCAACGAAGCCAACCGTCAGAGCGCTGCCAACGCTAACAGTGACGTCAAGTTAACCCAAACGACGAGTTTAACGATCAAGAGATTAGAGAATCTCCAGAAGGAGTTCGATCTCTTGGAGTACAGTCTCACCAGTTCTCGCATACTATTCAAAGCCACACCAGAATCAGTCAATTAATTAACTTATTTAAAGTATTTATTAATCAAATTTAGATATATTTAATTATTTCAATAAAACATTTATATAATTTTAAAACTTGTAATATTTTAATTAAATATTTTAAAAACATAATTGACTTTTTACTTATCATTGGTAACCAATAAGTCATTTGACTGTCCAGTCATTGAGATTAACAAAACAAATACTGATTATAATAAACAATTGGATAAAATCAGAAATAGACAAACAATAAACACTAAATATAGTAACAAATCGAAAAATAGATAGTTTATAATAAGTAATAAATGCTCTGATTTTGTCATATAATGTATAAATTCAGATCTATATATACCTATAAAATCCAAATTCAAATACTGTTATTCAGAGTTAGAAAAATAGTTTAGTTCAATAAAACAAAACTAATAAGTTTAGTAAAACATTGATTAAATTTCACATGAAATACTTGTTTTCGCAGAGATTTCTTTCCATTGGCTTAAGACTCGGTTTCCAATACCTGAAAGATTTCATTAGTTTGTTGAGTGACGCGAATGAAAGTCGTGCGGATCGGCAACTCTTTGAGTTTGGAGGCGCCGGTGTAGGTGCAGGCGGACCGCAGGCCACCCAATATGTCCATCACTGTCTTCTCCACGTCTCCCCTATACGGCACTTCCACTGTCTTGCCCTCTGAGGCCCTATACTCGGCGACCCCTCCGTGATGTTTGTTCATCGCAGTCGACGAACTCATACCATAGAATTGCTTCACTTTCTTGCCGTTGGGTTTGACGACAACATCGCCGCCGCACTGGTCGTGACCGGAAAGCATTCCGCTTTTTACTTATCATTGGTAACCAATAAGTCATTTGACTGTCCAGTCATTGAGATTAACAAAACAAATACTGATTATAATAAACAATTGGATAAAATCAGAAATAGACAAACAATAAACACTAAATATATTGTAGCAACAAATCGAAAAATAGAGTTTATAATAAGTAATAAATGCTCTGATTTAGTCATATAATGTATAAATTCAGATCTATATATACCTATAAAATCCAAATTCAAATACTGTTATTCAGAGTTAGAAAAATAGTTTCGTTCAATAAAACAAAACTAATTAAAAATAATAAGTTTAGTAAAACATTGATTAAATTTCATATGAAATACTTGTTTTTCGCAGAGATTTCCATTGGCTTAAGACTCGGTTTCCAAGACCTGAAAGATTTCATTAGTTTGTTGAGTGACGCGAATGAAAGTCGTGCGGATCGGCAACTCTTTGAGTTTGGAGGCGCCGGTGTAGGTGCAGGCGGACCGCAGACCACCCAATATGTCCATCACTGTCTTCTCCACATCTCCCCTATACGGCACTTCCACTGTCTTGCCCTCTGAGGCCCTGTACTCAGCGACCCCTCCGTGATGTTTGTTCATCGCAGTCGACGAACTCATACCATAGAATTGCTTCACTTTCTTGCCGTTGGGTTTGACGACAACATCGCCGCCGCACTGGTCGTGACCGGAAAGCATTCCGCTGCGACCCCTCCGTGATGTTTGTTCATCGCAGTCGACGAACTCATACCATAGAATTGCTTCACTTTCTTGCCGTTGGGTTTGACGACAACATCGCCGCCGCACTGGTCGTGACCGGAAAGCATTCCGCCCAACATCACAAAGTCGGCGCCCGCGCCAAACGCTTTGCACACATCGCCCGGACACGTGCAGCCGCCGTCTGATATTATATGGCCTCCGAGTCCGTGCGCGGCGTCCATACACTCGAGCACTGCCGACAGTTGCGGATACCCGACGCCCGTCTTCTTGCGAGTGGTGCAGACACTTCCCGGACCGATACCCACTTTGATTATGTCAGCGCCCGCCAGAATCAACTCCTCCACCATCTCTCCCGTCACAACATTGCCGGCCATTATTGTGTGCGTCGGGAAAGCGTTGCGAACCTGTTTGACAAACTCCACGAAATGCTCGGAATAGCCGTTCGCCACATCCAGACATATAAACTTCACGTCCGGAATATTCTTCAAGATTTGCCGGCCATTATTGTGTGCGTCGGGAAAGCGTTGCGAACCTGTTTGACAAACTCCACGAAATGCTCGGAATAGCCGTTCGCCACATCCAGACATATAAACTTCACGTCCGGAATATTCTTCAAGATGTCCTTCAGTTTGTCAAAGTCGCCGCTTCCGGTGCCAGAACTCACCGCAACATTCTTCGGGACCCAATCATTCAAATCAAACCCATGTTAATAACAACTTCAGTGATACTGACCCGTAATACTGATGGGTTTTTGGCGGCGAAATCAGTCCACTCTTCAATGGTGTAGTGTTTATGAATAGCTGTGAAACAGTTATGCTTATTGAGAGCCAATGCCATCTCAAATGTGCCGATTGTGTCCATATTGGCCGCAATCAACGGAACGCCAGTGTATTCCTGACCCGACTTCTTGAAGTGATAACTTCGGTTCAGATCGACCTTTGGATAAAGACATGGAAACCAATGTATAAATGGTATCCATATTTTACAAGAATATGATTCTTACATCTGAACGGCTCTTAAGCGTCGATCGTTTAGGTCTTAATAAGACATCTTTGAAATCCAATTTCACTCCTTCTTCGATGTGAGGCATGTCTTGTCTTTGGGATCGCTTTCACAGACTTTCACACAATTAACAAGTTTTTAATTGACATTAAATTTGTAAATAACTGTAATATTGATGTGAATTCTACGTGATGTTAGACTCAATGCAATTGTGTTTGCATTTGATATTTGTATAAATGATGAATAATAATGCATATAATAAATGATTGCAAATGTATTCAATACTGGAATCAGTTTACAATTGAATGAATATTGAATTTCAATACCATATCTTCAATGAGAGTAAATCACGTTTTCTCTCACATCCAGTGCTTTACCATTAATTTATTCACTGCTTTCTCTCCCACTCTCTGACGCTCTCTATTGTAAGTCAATTGAAGTTGACTTTCAATCAGATTCTGTGCCCTATTCTTGACACCAGAATATTTGCCATACGTTTAACCAATACTTGATTGAATACATGTATTGTGCGATTCTATTGGAAATATTAGTTTCATGTAAATTAATAACTAGATTGTCTGCAATGTAATTGACGTTATCATATCAATTAATACATTCTATTTGAATAAATTTTATTCAATAAAACATGTAAAACAGTACATGTTAGTTTTTGACAAACATTTGGTGATTATAGGCTTGTATTTTGAATCATATCTCGTATATTAGGATAACTATAGCTGTTATGTCTGGCAATTGGATATTGTCTTTGAGATATCAGATAACATATGATTAATACATACCAATCATATGAACAAACATTGATTTTCATTGGTTTCAAATGAAACTTCAATTCCACATCAAATTGTATTTCATATGTATCTACAGTACATCCTCTATAAGAAAGGCTCGCATCAAGTGATGAACATTGTTTAAATGGTTTAGAATTTTACAATTTACAACTGTTTGTATAATTTCTTATAGAGAAGTTGTACTGTATTTAAATATATGTTTAGTTAATTACATTAAATATTTGTTGAATATGTATGATATACTGTATAAAACATGTTTATGAATCATAAATTATGATAAATAAGTTGTTATCAAAATAATAAATGTAAATTATAGACTCAAATTAATTTGCATTCAATATTAGCCGACAGTTGTTTTCAATCCTATATTAACGGATGTTTCAAAACTTCAGTATTATTACAGTCACTGTCATTACTAGGGAAGAAAATTTTACTGAAATTTTTATATGAACTTTTAGGCTAAATATTGAAATTTTGGGCTAAATTTTCATTAAAATGTGAAATCTTCATATGTTTTTTAATTAGATACTTTTAATGTGTTGAAATATATAACTGCAGTCGGACTGGTATCAGCTCGTCATTCATATCACACACCTATTACTTAGATTACGATCTGTTAGACAGCGATATACTCATTACTTGTAAATACTAACACTCGCTGTAAATACTATGAATACTATGGAATGTTTTATTACTTATACTATTTTATGATTAGGAAATATTGTAAACTCTTAATACTATTTTAACCCACACTATGTATCGATCAGAGGGTATATAAGACTTGCCTCTGCTCTCAATCAAATCAGTCTATGCTGGCCTCTTGGAGAGCTCAGGTCTGCTAAGTCTCAGACCAATACTTATTATTATAATTTAATAAACAGTTGTTTTAGTTATTAGACTCGATTATTGATTAGATTCCTACAGCGGACTGTGTTTGGCATAAGGCCTACACACCCTCAACACAGTGCCCGACTGCATAACTGTAAGCATCAAACTAATTAAAACATTTTTCATTAAAAATAATTACGAAAATTATTTTTGTTCTTTAAATATTTCAAATTTATTAAAGATTGCAAATTCTGTTGTATTCTGTGAATATTTTACTTAAAGTATGAATTCTAAAATTCTATACTACAAAATAATAATGAATTTACGACATATTCGTGTATTCTGTTTAGTATTTAAATTGACTACTTTTTTATAATAGTTGTTAATTTAGTTTAAATTACACAAACTAGTGATTTATTTAGTAAGTATGTATAATATAGATTTCGCTAATGTAGTGGTTGAAAATTTAGCCTTCGAAAAATTAGAAAAATGTTCATCGAGACCCCTAAATGTTCACTAAATTTAGCCCTAAACGTTCCCAAACTTTCACCACTAATATACATCTCTATAGTCATTACTAAATTAGTAATACTGTACTAATGACTCATTGCAGTGAATCAAAAGTGACGCCAAATGTGTTGACAACACATGTGTTGAATAGAAGGCAAACATTCAATGTTTGCACTCTTTATCACAAACCGTACCAAACATTGCATTCAATACACAAACCAATCGATCGTTCAATCGATGCAAACACTCTCTCAATGACAACCATTTCTGCCATTTAGTCATCACATGAGACAACACTTAGACATCAATTATGAACAAATCGGTGGCAAAGACCAAATCAATGGTCATAGAAGTGACTCATTTGTATGACAACCGCAACAACAAACTCCTCACCGAAAGAGACCGCAAAAACATTGAATCCAATGGTGACAAGTGTTTGGTCGATATAATTGGCCGCCGTTTGGCCGCTCGTCTCGCGGGTGATAACGTTGTGGTCGACACCGACGAAGACGACAACGCCTTAACAAACATCGCGATCAATAAATCAGCCGATGTTAAGAACTACTACGAAGAGAACCAACTTTTCAGATACAGCGGTTCCCTTACAATTGGCGGTTATGTCGATAAGATTCGAGATCTCGTTAAGAAAAGTTGGATCCGATTGTGTGATAACGAGTACTTCGCCAATAGTCTCGTATCCGTTGAATTGAATTCATTGCAATACATGGCAGACATCGATCGACTGATTTCTCGCCAACAATACAGTCACATATCAGGCAATGGCGTCAAGTCCTTCAGTATGGGATCAATCATTGATTTGACACACTTTGTGGAGCACTACTCGAGTCGCGCTGATAGTGAGTGCGGCCTAAATGTGGCCAAAGATGATATGATCGCCGATTTCCAGTACGACAGAAACCAATTGGTGCTCAGATTCCGTGTGACGAGTGGCGGACATAACGGCAAACTCACCCGAAATATCCGATATAAGTGTGAATACGAGTTCAAAGCATTCAATTCTGCGGTCGTTTCGTTCGGTACTCTTGCAGACAATCCACGCATTCAAACGATGAAAATATATTTCTTGTTAAGCCATCCGCCGATTCTTTACAAACACTCTTTCGATGACATGACACCTGAAGAACAGATGCGATTCAATCAGTCCTACACTCGGGGACAGGTTTTTCGCAAACGAAAGATTTATAAAACCATTGAATCGGATAAAGGGGTTCACAACTATGAGGTGCAGAACCATCACCCGTACATTCGCGACAATGAGTTTTACGGATGTAATGCCCAAACTATAGGCAAATCGACGGTTTTGATGATTGAAATACCACTGATTGTCGACCCGAAGAAACTGAAGGAGAAATCTCGCGAACTGCCCGATCCATACCGTATACTATATCTCATGAAACGGTTCGCTAGAATTCCCATATATTTCTCTCACATCGAAACTCATGATTGTGTTAACAAATCTGTAATACAAATGAAAAATGAATTGCATATTGAGTATCCATTTCCCATTGAATATGCATTTCTATCGGTTTTTTCACATACTTTTAAATCTTCTGACGAACTCTTTCTTAAAAACCAAACCAAAGAATTCATTACAAAAGTGAAAGAATATTCAATTGAAGAACAAAACCATAAACCTCTCGAAGAAACACTGTTTGAATTGTCGGCTTTGGCCGATAGAAATGCCATTTACTACACAATGAATGCTTTTGAGAATATTTTCAACGATTATAAAACAATGAATGAAAAGATGCAAAGCATTGATATTAAGTCATTCAATGTGGAGATTGAGAATATCAGACGTTGTATTCTAACGCCCACCAGATTTCTAATACTTCCGCCGCAACCGACTCTTCGGAGCAGATTTATTGCGGACAACGACTCGGAATACACTATACGTCTATCAGTCCGTGAGGACGACTTACAATCGCTTCAATTCTCGGTTCGCACTCATAACGACACACAGAATAAATTTCTGAAGCGTATGATTAAAGACCCGATTATGAAAGGCATTACTTTAAGTAAACGAAAGTATGAATTTTTGGGCAGTTCTTCGTCGCAACTGAAAGACGCGGGAATGATATTATACGCAAAGGACTCGGAGGGCAGAACTGCCGACTCTATTCGGGAGTCAATCGGCGACTTTTCCAAGACTAACATTCGCAAGAATGTGGCCAAATATGTGGCCCGACTCGGACTCGCTTTCTCGCAGGTTATGACACATATCGATGTCAAACAAAGTGAGACAGAAGTCATTGCAGACATCAAAAGCGAAACTAAAAAATTAGATGAAAACGGAGAGACAACCGAAGAATTTTATACATTCAGTGATGGCATCGGAAAAGTATCGCTCGATATTATGGAAGAGGTATATAAAAAGCTGAAGAATGATTGCTTACTCAGGCCATCGGCGATGCAAATACGGTACGGCGGCTGTAAGGGTATGCTTGTCGTCGACCCCAACCTTAAGGGCCGGCAAATACAATTCCGCGAGAGTATGGAAAAGTATGGATCAGATGCCGCGCAATTAGGTATCATTAAGCTGTCGGCGCCCCGACCTTTGTATTTGAATAGACCTCTGATTACAATTCTGGAGCATTTGAAAGGAAAGGGCGACGAAAGTACTGATATATTTCAACAAATGTTAATGAATGACCTCAAAGGCCTATCCAATGCCATGATATGCGAGTGCGCGGCCACCAAATTGCTCCAGAATTCGTCCACTTTAGGCATTCCGTACCGAAAACTATACAAATCAGGCATTCCTTTCCTTTCGGAGCCTATATTCCGGCAAATTATCGAATCAATCATTAATTACAGAATTAATGAATTGAAAATGAAGGCCAGAATCAAAGTGCCGATGAGTTGCGGCCGAACTGTGTTTGGAGTTATGGACGAAACGGGAACTTTAGAATACGGACAGGTATTCGTCCAGTTGTCAGAAGTGGACGAAAACAACATCCCTTTGTTGCCCGAAGAGAGTGACGACGAATACAAGACATTTATATTAAAAGACGAGATAATGGTCACGAAATTCCCGTGTCTTCATCCCGGAGATGTCCGCAAATTCACGGCCGTTGACGTCAAAGCGTTGCATCACATCAAGGATTGCATAGTATTCCCGCAAAAGGGCAAACGCCCGCATCCGGACGAAATGGCCGGCAGTGATCTCGATGGCGATGAGTATGCAGTCATTTGGGATTCGGATCTCATTTTCGACAAACCAAACGAAAAGGCGATGAATTTTCCAGTTTCTGAACCCAAGCTTTTAGAAAAGGACGCACAGGTGGCCGACATTCTTGACTTTTACTGCGAGTATATCGTCGGCAATACTGTGGGACTGTTGGCCAGCGCTCATCTCGCGAAGGCTGACCTCTCGGATAAAAGCATTGACGACGATATTTGTATGAGTTTGGGTGAGTTCGCACTTATTCTGCATTCATGTGTCAAATATTTGTTGCTTTTTAGCCATAAAATATGCCATCGCTCTGGACTTTGCGAAGACAGGAAGACTTGAGCCAATGCAATGGTTTGTGTTATATATTTAAGAATTTTATTCATAAAATAGTCTCATTTTGTGTATTTAAGGAATGAAAGGCCAAAACTATACCCGGATTTTATGCAAAAGTTTTCAACAAAACGGACTTATTTGTCGAAAAAAATGTTGGGACAGTTGTATCGACACTGCGATCGGTTTGTTTATTTATGAAAAGCCATTATTATATAAATAATTGTTATATCAATTATTTTATAGATACAGTCACGGTCTCGACACTGGCAAAGATCTTGAGATTAAAGCCGAACCTATCCCTTGTCTCATAATAGACGGTAATTTACTTTTTTATCAACCAATTAATTAGCTTTTATACATTGTGTTTAGAAACATAATAATTAATAAAAATATTTAAAAGGTTGGGAGAAATACAAAGAATCGGCACTCAATGCTTATGAAGACTATAAGCGAAAAGTCATTTGCCTATTGAATACGTTTGGAGTGGAGAGTGAAGCAAAGCTTCTGAGCGGAGCCTTTAGTAAGGCTTCAAAGTATATGAACGGAAGAACCGAAACAAACGATGTCCACGAGTTGTTGGAAAACATGATTAACAAACTTTTCATTGAATTTAAAGAAAGGTTTAAAAATGAATGTCAAACACAAGAGACAGAAGAAAATTATGATAAATTTGTGGCGGAAAGTGAGCGAAAGCTTAGGGCCAGCGCTTGGTATATGACTCCCTTTAAATTGGAAGAGGATATTAAAGAGAGATATTTCGGGTTTTCGTGGACTATAACCGAAGAAGTTTGTAAATTAATGGAAAATAATACCACATTTAATGTGAATCGAGTGAACCACAAGTGCAACGATATGGGCGTACAATTGCTTCACGACTTCTTTGAACGCAATTATTTATATCGAGAGCCAGTGATTGACAGTTCCGTTACGGATGAGAGCGATAGACGACAGATAATAATGGAAGAGAGGTTTAAAACGGCAGATGTGGTGTTGAGAGCGTGGCTCGAAAGACAGGATCACCTGTTTTTTAAGCGCAAAATTGGCAGAAAACTCATTTCCTCGACAGACGCTGTGCTCTCAGATATGGACCGCAAATTACGGCGAGAACTTCAGAGCAGAAAATTAGATCTCTTGGCCGAAGCGAGAGATACAACTAAACCATTGAAAAGCGCCGCAGAATTGGTTATGAATTTCTTAACAGAATCTGTAAACGAATGGTTAGATATAAAGACCATTGACTTAAACAATCGGGTCGTCGACACGCCATTAGTTAAGATCGGATTCAGCGCTTTGATTACATTAAACCACTTCTTTAAAACCCGAGAAATATCTCATATCATATATTTGGGAAAGAGATTCAAAATCTCGCTCAAGACTCCCATAAGAGAGGCCACATTTTATATACCATTGCCGCGAACCGAAACCCCCAAAACTGGCGCCGATTTTCCCTATAAAACGAAAATGAGAGAAAGGGAGAGAAAATATGTGGAATATATGGTTCAATATCCAGAAATATTTTGCGAACGATTGAATCGAATGAGTGGCGCCTTAGAGATAGTTCTGGAGCCCTATCCCTTGAACAAAAAACAATTAGAGCACTTCTATTTGCTGACAGCCACGGGAACGATGTGGTCACTGCAGACCATCAAGAGTTTCATATGTCATCCGCAGTTCTTTCAGACTGTTTGCAATGACGACAAACTATGGAAACGTAAGAATTTGTGGCCCAAAGGCAAAGACAATAAGCAAAACAAGGAAAACAAACAATCGAATTGAATAAAGCAATCGATAGACACACTATTTTTGTTCCTCAAATTGTTTGCATTTTTCTATTACTCAAACAAGTATTTTATTAGTGATATTGTTATGCCTTATATTTGGCTATTTTCTCTATTATTCCTATTTTTCATATAAACCACACATAATCTCAATACTTATTACTTTAATATTTTACTTATATTCTAACCAATAATTGATTATAATTTTCCTAGATTTAAAATATTTAAATCGTTTGATAGTCACTGAAAGTAACGAATTGATAAATAAATAACTTAATAATAACTTAATACTACGAATTACAATTATATTCTGTTAATGTTTAAAGTATTTCAATTATATTCAAACCATAATTTAATTGTTTATCATTTCGACGGATTTTTCAGAGTTTATAAAATTTTATAATTAAACTAATAGTTATAAAAATATTCTTTCAAAGAATGTATATTAATGTTAAGCAAATATAATAAAAGATTATTAATAAAGATTTT